AACTGCAGTGCAAGTCGGTATCCAATAAGTTGTCCTCTTTTGCCCTGGGCCATGCACTGTCCTCTCCACCTCAGGCCAGGGGGCAGTCAGCGACATGGATGGTGGCACTCCACATACAGAACCTAATAGTCTCTGAGAATCTGAGGTATACTCAACAGAACACATGACTGCTGGTCCCCAAACTGCTCAGATATCCATCTGAACCACAGCAGGCCCCAGTTTAAAAAGAGCTCCAGCATAAGGAGGGGAATGAGAAGAGACTCCCATCCAATTCCCTCTCAAAAGCCAGAGTCCCATAGAGCTTTCCTGCTGGAGCAAGAGGATCTGGATCCAGGGAGACAAATCAACAGCAGTTTTCAAATAGACATTTTAAATGCTATGTCTCTTCTGGCCATCAGCTACTCTGTCACTCCCCCTCAGGGCTGTCCAGTGGCAAAGAGCTTTGGAATCAGCAAACCCCAATTCTATGACTTCCTAGCTGTGGACCTGGAAGAGAAACTGGAGGAAGGGTGCCCACACTGAAGATAAAAGCACACTAACGCATCGCCAGGGACACACAGGGACATGACAGTTTACTGCTTATCCATCTGTATCTGCACGGTGAACCACGCAATCCTTCCGAGTAGGATATGGTGCCTCAGGTCCATGGAAGGGAGCATTGAATAAAGGTCAGATGAACTGAGGCGGGAAGCTAGGGAAAGGCTAGCCAGTCAACTGAAGCAGGAAACAGGGACAGGGCAGACTGAGCTGAGAAGGGAAAGCAGGAGAGGGGGCTCCGTCCGGTCTGTCACAGCTCTACAAAGCAACCAATTGCCTGTTACTCTAGACCTTCTCAACCTTCCTAATGCTGCAACCCTTTAATACAGTTCCTCATGTGGTGGTGACCCCAAACCATAAAATCATTTTGTTGCCACTTCATAACTATAATTTTGCTTGTTATGAATCATTACATAAAATATTTGATATGCAGGATATCTGGTATATGATCCCCCCAAAAAAGGTTGCGACCCATAGGCTGAGAACCACTGCCCTAGACTCTCCTCCTCCAGAATAAGTGAATCCACTCTTCACTCTCCCTAAAGCCCAGGACCCAGTAATTCCCCCTCCAGGGCCCCAAAAGAGAACCTTGGCCTGGCCGGTGACCCCTGGTTCCTGCATAAGGCCTCCTTGGAGGCCAGCCCACATGGCTTTATTATAAATGACGCCCTGAATGGCCATCTGACCCATCTTGTCTCCTGGCCTCCTCATCTCCAAGTCCCTGAAGCCTCAGCCAAAGACAACAGTGTGGGCTTGTTTCTTTGGGGCCCAGAATAGAAAGCTCCCCAGCACCTGGAAGCAGCTGGACACTGGAACTCAAGGACTATGGTTGGCCTCCTCGTCCTGTGCCAAGTGCATCTGTAAACACGCCTTCTCAGTGGCTCCCTGCAGCTGCTCCCCAAGGGGTCAAAAAGGGGGAGAAAAAGGCTAGAGTCAGGGCAGCCTATAGCTTACAAGCGAGAGCTGAGCTAGCAGGGTCTGGCCTTAAAGGGGGCCAGAGGTTCAATGAGGCTTTTCACTGCTGGCCTTGTGCCATCGCCTCGGATGGGCTCACTAGTGCCCAGGACTGATGTCTTGTGCCAAGCTGCAGGGACCCCCATGAGCCATGGGGCCTGTGTCACTGCTGTAGGTCCCACTGTTTTACAAGTTGGCGGGGAGAATGAGCTTGCTAGGGTGGAGATGCCTGGATGCTGGGCTGTTGTGCGTGATCCCGTTTGCTATAAAACAGCCAGACATTCCTAGGACCTGGAATCACGCCGAGGCCATGAAGTTAGCCTTCCCGGCCATATATCTCCAGGAGGGGGGACAGGCCTGAGACATCTGAGATAATAAAGACATGACTGTCTCAGCCCTGGGGCTTGTCTCCCCTTTGTCCCAGGACTCAGCAGCCAGCAAGTTTAAAGACATCCTCCCCCTTCTCCTGGGAAAGTACAGTTTCATCAGATTCTACAGCCCATGGGGTTAGCTTCCCAAGAGCCAGGCCTGGGCTGGACTCCTGTTCCCAGCTCAGCAGAGCATGAGGTGATCAAGGGCCTAGCTTTCAGCAATGCACAGAAAAGGGTGGCTAACTAGAGTGATCACTCACGCCACAACTATGGCATGACAACCATTCTCTGCACACAGGTCTCTAGCTCTCAACTGCCCTACACCATAGGATCTAACTTTCAGGGATGAAGAACAAAACCTCCAAGAGGTAAACAGGCTTTTCTAAAGTCCTACCTATGGATGGCAGACACCTGACACTATTTTGCCCAGTTTTGAAGCTATGGACCCATTCTTGCCATGCTTTTAACTCAGAGCGCCTTCCTCTGAAGCCTGGAACTCCTGAAGTAACTCCGATGCTGTTTCCTCTTCCCTAGCTTCCCATGGCTCAACCTCAGTGGCAAGGGAGGCTCCTCTTTAACATCTGAAGGAGAAAATTCATACAAGGGAGGCAAATCCAGAAGCCAAAGCCACAGCCTGGTCGCCCATGAGTCACTTCCACCTCAATCTGACCAAGTAATGGCAACAGCCTGTCACTAGGGTGAGTGACGACTTTGTGAAGGGAACACGGAGACATGAGAGGAGCCAAGGATGAATCTGGCACACTGTGACTTGAAAGGTTATGCCTGACCCTCTAACCTCAGGGGCTGGAAAGAGGCATCACATCACACACATGTATAAGGAGAGGGAGAGCTAGGCACAAAACCTACAGGCCCAGGTTCAACCTGTAAAATCTTGTAAAGCTCAACTCTAAGCCAGTTTCTCATTTGCAAAATAAACACCTGTTCCATTGGCCATACCAGTCCTTGCAAAGATGAACATGAAAGCAGCCTGTGACAGCTTTATAAACAGATGACATCACGGCCCACATGTGCTTTTTCTTTGCTGTTTTCTTTTGCATTCCTGATGTCCCCCTCTCCCTGCTTTTCTTCTTGTCAAACATCTGAACTCACTATGTTCAATATCACATTAGTTCAACATGCACAAAAACCTGGGAATGATCCTCCTAGTCCAGCCATTTTTAAAAAGTGCCAAGCAGAGGCTCAAACACCTGCTAAGACAACAGACATATCACAAAGCATGAGCCCAGAGCCAGCTGGTTCCTGGTGCACTGCAGGAGCAGACCTGCTGAGGCACAGAAAGGGCCAAGATCTGTCTACTTCTGTCAGTCTGAGCTCCAGGGCTGCCCAGACACTCTCAGTTCACTTGACAGCAGAGCCTCGGCGGTAGAGATTTAGTGTCTCCCTAATCCAACCCTTCTTCATGGGACCATTGCTATCTTGAGGCTGCTTCCAGCTGCAGATCTAGCCATCTAGACTCGTCCCTGTTCTTCTCAACCTCCATCTACAGGACTTTGCAAACCAGGGAGCTTCCACTCTATTAGGTACATAACTGCCCTCCTTGAGAGCAGAAGGCCACTAAGAGAAACCAAACTGTAGGAAATCCTGAGTGGCTCAAGAAAATAAGGCTAAGCATCTTCCTTATTTCCCCACTCTGGCTTTGAACCACAACAGAACACAGAGGCTGTCTGCTCCGAGGGTTTGAATGCATGTTCTCAAGAGTCCTGCTTGCACATTCCAACCAGCCCTGAAATAAACCAATTCCTCCTAAATCCCCACCTACATTTCATTATTCCTAAGTCTGTCTACAACAGAGGCTGTCTCAGACAAAAAGCTCCCCAGGGGCAGTCGACATCAAAAACTCAGCATGACTCAATTTAAAAAAAGATGATCCTGGCTGCAAGTTACCTAAAAGGCAAACTAATTCACAAGAATCACGCAGACTGGGGACTAGGGGATTGGCAAGCAATCTGTTTGAGAACTGGAAATGGGATCCTTGGTTGGGGGGGGGGAGATAGTGGGGCTCCTCAGAAGTCAAAGAACGGCTGCAGTGACAAGACTGAGGCTGGGAGCTCTTTTCACAGTAGTTTTGGAGTCTGTGCTCTCACTAGAAATGAGAAAAACAAACTAGTAAGCTTCTTGAGACCTGGGCAACAGCGGCCAGCCTTTTCTTACTGCTTCTCTGCCACCTAGTGGATATTCTGCATCATTACAGAGCTACTTCAAGGCCATTCAGACAGGGGTACTGAGGATGTCTGACCTTCATTACTTCACAACACTGCAAAGCAGGCAGATGCCCTTTTTCAGTTAGGGTAGTGGTTCTCAACGGTCCCAATACTGTGACCCTTTAATTGTTCCTCATGTTGTGGTGACCTCCCCTTCGAACCATAACATTATTTCATCACTACTTCATAACTAATTTTGCTACTGTTATGAACTGTAATATCTGATGTGATCCCAAAGGGGTCTCTACCCATAGGTTGAGAACGGCTGAGTTAGGGAAAGTCATCCCAGGGTGCAGAAGACAGCAGAAAACACATGGCCAAAGTCTCCCTCAGGCAACACAACTGCTTCTGAAGAGAAAGGAGGCTCCAAACCCACAGCGATTTTAGTTCTTCTTCAAGTCCCTACATGTTGCTGATCCCTCTGGCCAGTTACCAGCCAAGTCAAACAGATGACACCAGCTTCCTCCAGCCCCAAATACACATGTGCATATCGCCCCACTCAATTTCCCCTTTTGAAAATTAAAAGCCATACAAAAATGTGTACTTGGGTTCACAACGGATGGAAATAGTGTTACCCACTCATGGATCAATAAGCAAAACGTGACAGTCACAGGCCAGATGTAAAGAATGAAGCAGGCAGGGCCTACGACTTAGTAGCAGAGCTTGCCTTGAATTCATGCAGACAGGGGATGAAGTAGTCACACACACACATGCTACAATACACAGGGCCCTTGAAAACACACTAAGTGAGAGAGCCAAACACAAAACACTATGTAATACATCACCCTGTATACATACATAAAACTTCCAAACTGAGAAAACTTAGGGTAATAGACAGCCTGGAGGCTGTTTAAGACTACAAAGAAGGGGCAGAGGCTTCGAAAGGAATAGCTCAAGGGCTCTAGAGCTTCTTTATGAGGTACAATGTTCTAGAATGCCTGTATGAAGAAAACCCGGAGCAGAAAAAGGGCTTCTTGCCAGCTGATGCCTTAGACTTAGGATTACAGATAGGCGGCTGAGTCTCCAAAGGTAATGGGGTAGATTGGGGGTGTTTCTCATGATCCTGACTTTGTATGAGTTTAGAATTACTATGAATTTCGAACACCATCACATTACTGTTTCTTTACCCCATCTTTCGCTTTCCTGAAGGTGTGTTCTGTCCACTCTAACAGAAGCACCGTGTACTAGTGGGGCTAACATCTGAATGTGCTAAGTCAGGCCAGAGCGAGACATTAGGAAGACAGCCTCAGTGCCTAGCACAGTAACAGTCCCAGCTCTTGATTCTGCCCTCACCTCAGTCTTCCAAAGATTTGGGTGGAGTCTAGCTGGCCTGCGTAGTCAGGGGGAATTCCCCAGAGTTCCTGTTTCCTGTGATATAAGTTCTACTAAGTTCTTAATAGCAAAACCTCCTTCAGGAGAACCCACGGTCCTGTCCCCTAATCAGGGCTGCATGACCCAGGTTAGTCCTACCCCTAAATGAGCATTATTCAAATTCAAGCTGTCTTTTCAGAAACTGAAGGATTAAAGGTAAGCCTGGGTCTCTTCTAAGTATGTAAAACCTTCCCTAAGCCAGGCAGTGGCGCATACCTTTAATCCCAATATTTGGGAGGCAGAGCCAGGGGATCTCTGTGAGTTTGAGGCCAGCCTGGTCTATTGAGCAAGATCCAGGACAGGCACCAAAGCTACAAAGAGAAACCCTGTCTCAAAAAACAAAACAAAACAAACAAACAAAAAACCAAACAAACAAAAACTTCCCTAACAGCTGTGGTTGTAAATATTCGTGAGTGCATGTGCTTGCCTGGCATGTACCAGGCCCCAGGCTTGGTTCCTAGCACAGCATAAACCAAGCATGGTAGCATATGCCTGCTTGGGAGTAGAAGTAGCAGTATCAGAAGTTATCTATCCAGAGCTAGTAAATATTCTTCGTTCTCTCCTTTAATCCCAGCATTTGGAAGGCAGAGGCAACTGGATCTCTATAAGTTCAAGGCCAGACTTCTCTACATGGTGAGTTCCAGGCTAACCCAAGCTATTAAAACAGAGGGTGGGGGTAACTAAGAAGCTAGAGTAAGGCCTACACCAATGGTATTTAAATCTCTTGGCAAAATCCCATGCACAGGGGCACACAGCTCAATTTGCTTGGGGCAGTAGTGCAGAGCAAAAGTGATGAGCCGCCATGAGCTGCAGGAGCTGCTTCACACTAGCTTTTGTATCTGTAATGGGGTTCTACCACACAAATCAAAAAGTCTCCAACTCCCAGAGCTTTTTCCAGTGGTATTGTCAGCACAGTGGGAGAAGTGGAAGGGAACATCAAAAACCACGCTGCAGCAGAAAGCATAGCCAGCGCTCGAGCCAGCCACTGGGGGTCTTGGAAGAAGCTGGCAGTGAGGACAGAGTCCTTACAGCAGCAAAGCAGTGAGTGCGGACTGAGCTCAGCTCCCCAGAGGCCAGGCAGGTACTGTCTACTATTCAGATGGAGGGATGGCTCTAACTAACTTCACTATCCCTATTCCCTTAACTAATAAAGGGCTTCCTTTTACAAGTGCTTCAGAAAGGAAGACTCAAATCCCCTTCCATCAGACCAGGACAGGACGGTCCTCTGATGCTCCACAAAAGCCAGACAGCTGGCATCAGGGCTCCAGGTTAAGTCTAAAACTTCAGGCACATTCCCCACACCTCCAAAACTGGTTAGAGATGAGAGGAAGAGATGGGGAGAGGAGATGGGGGTGGGGGGAGAGAAAGAACAAACACGAGGATCCCTCATTCACGGAGTAGCCCAAGGGCAGGAGTCAGTCAACAGACCTTTCTGGCCCTGCTTGACAATGACAAGGAAAAGTGAGGATGCTACCCACTTTCCAGCCTTACAGAAAGCAATTCTCTACCCTCAGCAAAACACAACTACTTCCACTTTGCATGGGAAATGTTTACTGGCCTCAAATTCGAGATCAGAGGAGTAGTCAAGCCAAACTCAAGCCCCAAGCCTATGTATGCAATCTGCACAGCACTACAATGCCACGATGTCTAACTTCACTCTCACCGACTACCCCTGCTTCTCTCCTCAGGGATGTGAGAGGATCAAGTAAACCAAAAATGGCTGAGAGCCTCTGTTGGGAAACATGCAGCTAGAGCCCAACTGTCAACCTAATTCGGGGCTAACAAATGAAGGGAGGGAGGCAAGCAGGCTTTAGGGCCCGGTTTCCATTCCCAGCCTCGGGGACTCACCTAGGCCTGGCCTGCTCTCATCCCCACCTCCTCAGTGCTAAGAATCAAACCAACCCAAAGCCTTGGGTATGCTAGGCAATTGCTTTCCACTCAGCTACACCCTCAGCCCTTTCAAGATCCTCTGTTCCAAGGGTTCTCAACCTTCCTAATGCTGTGACCCTTTAAAGCAGTCCCTCATGTTGTGGTGATGCCCAACCACACCATTATTTTCCTTCCTACTTCATAACTGTAATTTTGCTACTGTTATGAATTTTAAATGCTTTGAAGACAGAAGTTTGTCAAGGGGTCATGATCCACAGGATGAGAACTACTGCTCTAAGCCAGGGAAAGGAAAGGGTGCCCTACTCTAGCATTGGCCCTATGGTTCCTTCTCTAAAAGGCTGCTTCCTATTTACCTGCCCTGCACAGGAAGCCTTTTCCAGCGCTCTGTCGGCCCTGACCACTGTGAGATGCTCAGGCTAAATTTTCAGCTGTGTGATTAGTCACATGGATTTTACTTCCACAGAACACTAGTCAACCCCACATGTTCCAAGTCAGAAAGATCTGTTCTAACTCTGGCTGCAGACATTAGGGAATTTCAGATCAGAGTCCTTCTCTAGTCTATGAAGGTATCTGCATTATCAACTTCACGGGCTGTTATAAACTTTAGTGTGATGCATACTCTGCACTCAGTCAACACAGCTATTACAGCAAATGCGTGTTGTTTCTCTTATGGTCCTGAATGTTAAGGGCCACTCCCCTCTTTAGTTGCAGGCCCTTGAGAGTCAGCTCTCCCCACTACACATATCTGTCCTCATGTTGTGGTGGAGCAAGACTCTTGGCTTCCCCTCAACATGCCCAGGCTCTCCCCTATTTGTTCAGGCTCCCACCCAGAAATTCTTAGCGATGCACCTTACTCATATACCTACACACTCATACATCACATTATTTCTGCATGTCAACTAAAAGGACAATTAAATGTCATTGGTGGGAGCAGTGGTACAAGCGACAACCATGTCATCTCCAGAGCTGACAGTTCATTTTTTGCAGAAGCCCTTCCTGGTTTATCTTACCCCCTTCCATATATCCAACTATGATTTCTCCTACAGTGTTCAGTAACTCCCCACTTACTTTCATTCTGACAGCTTTCATCCCAGTTTCTATCCCAAAGACCTCTCAGCAGTTTTTTAAAAATACATTGTCTCTACACCAAAGGCATTTAGGAGACGTGTGGTTTTAAGCATTTCTTATTCTTTCCAGCAGAATCCTTGTGTTAGCCATCCTGAAGACGGTCCTTACCATTCTGAGACACAGAATACCACACAGCTTGTCTGATCTTCAGACACTGATTATCCAGGGACACCAAAAAGGACAGAAGCCAACTAAATACTGTGCACATGAAGTACTTCTATTAAAGAGCTAGAGAGAAATACCACCTCTCATCAGGCTCTTCCTAAAGGAAGTGGAACTTCCTTGCACTGTTAACATTCTTCTCAAAAAAAAAAAAAAAAAAGACTGAGTCTGAGGGTGTAGCTCAGTTGGTAGACTGCTTGCCTACCATGCACAAACCCCCATGTCTGACCTCCAGCACTGTATAAACAATGTGGCAGTTCATGCCTAAAATCATAGCATGCAGGTGGACAAGGTCATCCTCAGCTATATAAAAAAGGTCAAGGTCAGCATGGGCTATAAGAGTTCCTGTCTGGAATTAATGAGCTTCTGACTCAAGGAAGAACAAGTGAGTGAGTCTATAGCTAGCTAGAGAAAACACAAAATTTCTGACACACCACAGTGGCGCCAGCCAGAACTTCACACACCATGTTCTTCCCCCTGCAATGCAAATCTACACACTGCTAAAAGCTATGATCTCATTTAGTCCCTCACACTCAGGTATAGACTCAACCATTATCTCTGAACAACCTACTGAAGTATCGGGGACACTCACACACTGTGCCAAGACTAAACAGCACAGTCAAGGCTCTGCACAATTTTCCTACATTAGAAGTTCCATGGATTTTACATTTTGATTGCCTATGGAATTTCTAGGCTAACTCTTGACATCTTGAACAATTCACTAGTCTTCTCAGTCCAGCAAGTCACTAAAGGCAGCTCTGTTACTTTCTGTCACTGATTTAAAAACAAAAACAAACAAAAAACACCCATAAGGAAGAACTCACATCCAAATTATAATTTGGATTCAACCACCATTTTAACCTAAATTTACCACTAGGTGGCGCTAATCTCAACCATCCAAGAAGCTCTTACCAGAAACTCTTGTCTAGGTTCTGAGCTAAGTCTCTCTAGGAATCATTCTAAAGAGCTAGACAGTGTGGTGTTAGCAGAGGCCTTCCCACCTCTGCTAACAGGTGCTAAAGGTAGCAGCTTTACCTTCCTAAAGCTGCTCCAAAGCTCATGATGAGAACTAGCTCGGTAACACCCTCCCGTTTATGCCTCCAAGATTGGCCAGATACCTAAGTTACAGCTCACAAATTAATCCACTTTTGTGGTACTACCACAAAACAGGTACTACCTGTTTAATCCTTTACAACTAAAAATCAATCCTAGCTGGGGGGCAGTAGTAATGTACCCTTTTAATCCCAGCAGGAGGCAGAAGCAGGCAGATCTGTGAGTTCAAGGCCAGCCTAGTCTACAGAGTGAGTTCCAGGACAGCCAAGGCAAAACGGAGAAACCCTGTCTTGAAAAATCAAAAATCAAAACAAAACAAAAACAGGAAGAACAAAGAAAGTAAAAATTATTAACCCTAAATAATCAGAAAAAAAAATTCAAGCCACCTACAATTTCCCACCAGCTGATGGAACATGGGCCTGACATTGTGCCGAGGTGAGGTGAGACAGATAACAGAGATGAAATCTTCAGCAAAGGAATGAACCATTGCTTCCATGAATTTCCTAGAAGCCCAACTTAGCCTATGAGAACAGCTTTAATTCATATTCACTTCTAACCCTAATTCACAAGACCGGGAATTTGCTACTGTGTTCTCTCTGGGAGTGAACTGAAATATTCCTGAGTAGAAAATACAACAACTTCCATGAAAACTCACAGCACACTGTCAGGTTCTAGAAGGTGCTTTGGCTTAAAAGCACTTACACCACACTTAACTAAGACAGGACAGAAGTCAGCTTGCTTTCAGCTGTATGGGTTTTTTCAGGTCAAAGTGATGCTTAACTCTGCTACAGGCACATTAATCACTGACCTGCCAGTGATACCTATCTCACTCTCCTTTGAGGCTAAAGACACAAAGATAAGGGTAATTAAGGCACCTCACTGTCAGCTTTTAGTGTCCTATTCCAGACCTCCATAAAGGCACCAGGAAGCTTCAGTCACTGTCTCAATCTAAGTTACCTTAGATTCCAGACCATCAGAGCCTCCCAAATAGATCACACCATAATGAGATCACCCTCAACAGGACCTGTAATCTCCTGGGAACCAGAACAGAGCCTCAAGCAGTAACTTCATCAAATCACCCAGCAGAACCTGAAATGATTCACTGACCAAGCAGACCACACCAGTAGCTTAATTATGCGTACCTCTGGACCCTGCCCAATCCTTCCTATTTTTATAAAGCTTAAGTCATTACCCGCAAGGAGGACTTGGGAGTCAGTGTACCCCCTTTCCAGTATTCACCAGCTAGCTTAATTGCTGGCTTTTGGCACTACTCGTCCCTTTAGTTGGTATACTGGGGGTGAGTGGCTAGGCTCAGCATACTGGGGCCCCTGGTCTCTGATGGTATACTCCAGTGAAAGGAGCAGAATAAGCAAGACAGACAACTCAGAAGCCAGAGGGCAACTCAATAGGATCAACAAAATAGCTTCATCACAGGGATGCGCTTCTGCCTGAGGGTCAGTGATTCCTACAGAGAACAGTGGCCAGAGACCAGAGCTCACAGAGAATGCGGCTAGACAGGATGTGACAAGAGCAGCCAGGGCTGCTTCTGCTGTGTACTCTAATAGGTAACAGACTACTACATCACCTTTCCCTTCAAACCCTGTCCCTTCTACTTCAGAAAGAGTGCAATGAGGGCCACTTACTGCAGGGCTTTCTTTACATCCTGGCCTCACTAATCTGCACAATTATTTTAAACCTCCCCTTCAGGCATATATCTCAGTCTTCCTGCAACCCAGGACTCTAATGTATATACTTTCAATAGCCAAATATCCACCGTCACAAAATTTAACAATTCTGTCAATAGCTAGCTCTAATGCCCATAGTACCCAAAGGCAGCAAGACAGTAGGAAGAATCTAGGAAAAAGCAGAGATGGAAAGCAGTACTCAGTGCTGAGGACTAGGAGGGGGCCCTACTACTCAAGCCTGGGACTAATAAACTGTAAGCAAACACTATAAAGGGGAAGCCAGGAATGTGGGCCCAGCTGTCACACAGCTGTGCAGGGAAAAGATGTCTAAATTGTCTCATTTTCTTCACTACACACACAATTAAGGGATTATATGAACCATATAGAATCTCAATTCTGTGATTACAAAATACAAGGACTATGAAAGAATCACAAAACTGTTCACCCACCCAGCTGTCCTTAGCTTGCTTTAAATTCTCCTACCTAAATTTGACAGAAAGTAACAACCACTTCAGCAGGGTAGAGCAGTGCTCAGCAGTTATGAGCACTGGCTACCCCTCCAGGGAACCCAGATTCAACTCCCATCACCCACATGGTGATACACCCATTCCTCTAGGCCCAGGGGATCTGTCGCCCTCTTCTGGCCTCCCCAGACACTACATGTATGTGGTGCACAAACACACATGCAGGCAAACACCCAAACACATAAAAATATAATGAAAAGCCTGATGTGGTGCACACCTTTAATCCTAGTGTTGAAAGAAAGAGAGAGGGAGTGAGGAAGGGAGGGAGGGAG